CAGAAGATGAACAACATTACGCACTGTCTTACATAATACAACCAAGAAAGAGAATTACAAATAATCCCCAATCATGATAAAGAATTTGGTACACTCTGTTAAAAGGAGCAGATTCTTAATACGTTTACCAACAGTTATCCAGAAACAACTTCCAAGATCTGTTAACATATCAACAATTACAAACAAATTCCTTGTACATGTATGTACAACATTACCATAGTTTTGCTCAATTCTCATATTGTTTCCATATCATTATAATACACTTGTTTTAGAAATTAAATTGTTATAATGTACCTCTTTTGAATGTTGAATGTTCCTGTGTTTTTTTAATTGTCGTTTATTGTGCATGAATTTTGTAGTTTGTGATTGTGTAATATTGCCACTGTTTCTTCATGGAATGTTCCGCAATACATATCTCATCTAAAACATCTTTGTTGCATAATAGTTTCTTACAGTTGTTTACGGGGGCATGCTGCAATTCGCTATGCAGAGTTGTGTCCCTTGGGCACGCCAGAAACCTATGACAGTGTGTTTGAATCTCGGTTCGCCCCGATTTTGTTGTCAGCAGAAAACCCTTGCTCGGTGGTGTCACCAAAGTGGTGAACGTCTAAGACCTGCATCACTTCAGACTTTCCTCCCACTTCAAGCTGACACGGAAAACTATACCCAATACCCAACTACCTCACTCACTCTTGTATATTGTTCCGTTTGGTTAACTGGGTTTGTGTTGTGATTGCTTCCGGCTTAGATTGGAAATTTGTTTAGAAGAATGTTACTATGTTCAACCCAAACATCGTGAAAATATCCTGCAACCGTATTATCCTTTTGGAAAATAATTGCAAACTTCAGACCAACCTGTTCAATTCCTATGTATCCAGAAGCAATGAACATATACGGGTGTATGATCTCTGCTGGAAGTTGTTGTTTTTTTGTCAAAGCAATAAACCATGCAGAAACGTAAACCGCCGATTGAAACGGTATGTACCATACATTACATACAGTGAAGTATTTAAAACAATGCTGTGTTCAACTATGCACAGCAAGCGCCATACATGTGATTATGAAGACAACTAATAAAGAATTTCTCATATCAAACCCGTTGTTTATTGAACAAAGTCATACTTTATAGAAGCCTGTTATTTAATCGTGTTGAACAATGTATTGCAATAGCAGTGTGAAAATCGAGTGCGCGTGACAGGCTTGGCCTAAATTCCTTCCTGGAATATACGATACATTGAAAAGGAAGTGCGCAATTGAGCTGTTTGGGTAAGGGAGATAATCACTCACTCTCAGTGATACAGCTTGAATAAGATACGATGTACAGCAATGCAAGGTCAGTGCGTGAATTTATCACTTCTATACTACGCCTATAGCTAAAGGAGATAATCGCTTAATGCGCAATAGTTTATTCTTACAAAATATAGACCGGTTAACTTTAGCGAAATGGGATCATTTTTAGCTCTTTTAAAAACAAAATGAACAAATTTCATGGGTTATCAGTATTACGAAAAGTGACTAAGTCTCAGAATAGCAAGACGATTTTGAAGTATCTCTTATTGCTGGAAAAGATAAACATCAACATTTCACGCACTTTTCACATGATTTGTATGTTTCGTTTCGGTAACTGTGTGGCTTGAAATTTCAAAGAAACCAACATGTCGACTTACATGCTCTAAAATTAACCTCGCCCGTATACTCCCCCGCCTTAAGGGCGGGGAAGAATAATGCACCCCGCTTCGTTGTTCATTGATCTTAGCGATCGTCTATAGAGATTGGGTGTAACACCCCTTTTAACAGTATTTCAGTTATATCACGGTGTGTCAGCTTAATGTGGGAGGAAAGCCCGGAGTAATGCAGGTCTCGGACGTTTACCTCTTCGATGAAACCCACGAGCACGGGTATGGTGCTGACAAACCTAGAAACATAATCGGGGCGAAGCGGGATTCGAACCCACAATCATAGGTTTCTGGCGTGCCCAAGGGACGCAACTCTGCACAGAGAAACGCGGCACCTGAGACAACTGGGCCGGGCCACCCTAACGAGTGTTGATATATTTGATGTCAGACCGCCGTCATATAGCTTGAATATTGCTGAGTGCGGCGTTAACAACAAACAAACAAATCTTTCTGAAAAATACCATTAGGCATCCATGATTATTTGACTCTTAGTTGACTCTTAGTTGTCAGACAATATTTGTCAAATTTAGTCAGTTCACAGGCAAGAAACAGAGCGTGTTCTTGACTATATTATGTTACTAGTTATATGTGTACAAATCTACATATATGTTTCTGTTTAACCAAAACACTTGGAAAATCTGCATTGAGACATTGTCAAAAGTCACGTGATTTTGGAGCAGCCATTTTGAAAAACTGTGCCATTACTTTGCAAAGCAGAAATTTCTATGAACGTTGTGGTTCATCTCGACGTTTTGACGTCAAAAGACACGAGCGTGAGATTTTATATATCACCCAACATCATTCTTCCAACTTTTTCAGTTTGTTGACAGTAATAAGCAGTGTCTTAAGTGTAAAGCCATTAGTGATATCATCTGACTGTGACGTCATGGTAAGCAATGGCATCACAATGGTCCGCAAAACATTGTGATGCAATTTCATTGCAGCTACATCTGCAATGTAGATATCGGTTGATCTCACCCAAGCGATATCTCCTGTGGGATATGTGAGTTTTGAATGATAAAACTTGATAATGCCCTCCTCATATTGCTGAACGACGGGCCATTACCACGCCCGTTGTTAGTTGACGTCATATGACGTTCAATAGTGGCGTCGTCTGGTTTGTTCTATGTCGTTTCCATATTTGTAAACGTGGGTCAGTGACATTCGATTTTCGTTAATTGCAGTAAATGTGTCAAAACCGATATTGTATAATTTAATATGATGACAAATGCTATCCGTTTGAGCTATAATCACGCTAACGCTATTTTTTAGGGCATTATCATTTGCAGAAGGTCTCGGTCTTTTCAACTGCTCTCCTTCGTCGGGCAGTTAATGGAAGGCCTCTGTATTCTGAAGAAAAATAGTGTTACCCTAATACTGTTGCCTCCTAGTTCCTGGAACAATGTATACTTATACATATCGCTAATATGTATGTGCCTACTTTCTTTACTTGATGAAATACTCCAAACACGTAGCCCTACTGAACACGCATTATGCATGTGAATCGTACCCTTCAACAGTAATCAATCAAACTCTATTAATTTATTGCGGCCTTGCCATGTACATGCTGGGCAAGTGTGTGATTTTGGCTTATGGACACAAAAGCACTAGAACGCGACATCGCAACATTGGTCAAGTGTCGCGATCTCGCGTTCTCTCTTTTTTGTGCTAATTGCCTATACAGTTATATGTTACTATTTTCAAAAACACGAGAACGCGAGATTGCGACATCGGCCAAGAGTTGCGACCTCGCATGCTTTTGTGCTGGTTGCCTATACACTTATATGTAACTATTTTCAAAAACATGAGAACGCGAGATCGCGACACTTGACCAATGTAGCAATCTAGTGTTCTCACCTTCTCGTGCGTTTTTTGCCAATTGTCTATACAGTTCTATGTAACAATTTTCAAAAACATGAGAACGTGAGAACGCGAGAACGCGAGATTGTGACATTGGTCAAGTGTCGTGATCTCGTGTTTGTGCTAATTGCCAATACAGTGATATGTCCCTTTTTTTTAAAAACACGAGAACGTGAGAATGCGAGATAGCGACACTTGACCAATGTCGCGATCTTGCGTTCTCGAGCTTTTGTGCTTATTGTCTATTCACTTATATGTAACTATTTTCAAAAACACGAGAACACCAGAGCGAGATAACGACACTTGACCAATGTCTCGATCTCGCCATCTCGTATTTTTTGGCTAAATGTCTATACAGTTATATGTATATATTTTCAAAAAGGCGAGAATGTGAGATAGCGACACTTGGCTTATGTTGAAATCTCGCGATGTCGCGTTTTTCTGCCAATTACCCATACAGTCATCTTGGGGCTCAGTCGTCTGAGTTGTCGCAATTCGTTGTGTAGAGTTGCGTCCCTTGGATGTGCCAGAAACCTACAATGGTAGGTTTCCTACCATTTTAAAGGGACACAGATCTACAGCAATGCCCCGAGACTGGTTGTTGCTTTTGTTATTGTTTTTCCCCCGTGAGTATCCGTATGATATAGCAGAAATCTAGACTAGTTCGCGACCTGTGCTGCGCCATTCGTAAGCGCATGTATCGCTTTCATTGCTAGTATTTCATTGTGGGTATATTGTTCAGCCAAAATCTATAAAGTTTCACTCGGGCAATTTGTTTAAACGGCTAAATAATCAGTTATTTTACAAATTGACTGAAAATCGGTCCTTTTGTGTTATTGTTATTACGAATTCCAAACATTATTGTGTTTTAATTTCAGCACCCAGTGACTGAAAATGATAGGATTAAAAGAAAACGAAATTCAAATACGTTTCTATAGTTTTGGCTTCTAATACTAGAGGGGCGGCCTAGTGGTTATTGCTGGAATAGTGCTAAAAGCGGGGTAAAATCAAACACACCCACTCTGATACTAGTATAACTAGTCCTCTTAAAAATCGTTAGTCAATCTGGACTTAGTTTCAGTCAATTTGTAAATTACTGAAATATTCAGACATTTTATAAATTGCCTGAGTGAATCACGTTTTACACATTGAGTGTAACATAAACACGCCTACGGGAACAAGAGGAACACAAATTATTTTATCCAATGCAACAGCTAATGAATGAAAACAAAATGCAAACATCATAATTACGACCCACCAAAGTTTTATGTATAAATTTGTGCAGCTTCCAAGTTCGAGGAATGTATCCGTGAATATTCACATATAGGAACAATATCCCATACGTCTGCAGCTGTAAAAAAACAAACTTATTCGACGTCACGTGGCTCTGTTACAATCAAATATTTTAAAACATATGTATAGCGTTCCTATACTATTATTATAACCCGTGTTCGTTTGTTTCAGATGTTTCACAAAGGTGTCAAGTCTGAACGGTCAGCTAAGATAACACATGTGACAATTATGTTCATGATGTCCATGCATATGGTTCTTTAAAAATATCCATGGAGTTAGAAAGCAATGAACAATCAATAAACGTTTTATCGGCTAATCCTTTGAACCAAGCATGTTGTTTTTTCATCGGCACTTCACGCCATTATATGGGTGTATTCCGTTTGCTTTAGTAAACCTACACATGTAAAACACTTACTTTTGACAAATCCACTGTGCAAGATAACAGTGATTTATCAATGAACGTATTTTCTGTGGAACTTTTGATGGCGAGGAATGATCCGCTTACAAAAAAGTAAATGAACTGATCACTCCTCTTGCTGGGCTGCCACGTGAATATTACATAACATACATTTCACCTCACTTCAAACCTGGATTCAGATGAAATAATTACCCCAGACACAAGACACGCCAAATGGGAACCTTTGTCAGGTAATCTGAGTGGTGCTACCACTAACTATACCTGTAATAGGTTCATTAACTGAGCTGCTATTGATGGCAACAAAGACACAGGTGTAGAGTTATGCCAGAAAACGTGGATGACAACAAGAGATAGCAATCGTATTACCCGCGCAATCCAAAATCCGAAAATGCTTTCACTGCTGGGATACCATTTTTTTTAACTATTAAACTATAACCATCTGGGGTATTTCCAAATAACAACATCCGATGAGCTTCCATCGTTTGTCCGTTTGTTTAGGCTGAAGAAATTAATTTACATGCGCCCTTTGTCTGAGATTTATAGATTACAGGTAACCAGTGATCTTGAGGACGGTAGCCCAGTCTCTTGTCACGTTCAGTTGCGTCAGTGAGCAAATCAACTCACCACAGATAGTGAGCCCCAGCTGGCAGTGTTAGACAGCCGACAAGAAGATTAGTGCCCCTTTAAACCGACAAGCCAGAACAGAACTGAGATATAAATACTGTTCAAAGCAGTGTTAAGGCAAACTCACTCACTTCTTCAGAGCCATGCCAGTCCCTCAGGCTGGATATAGGGGGTACTTTTCCAGTATAAGCATGACTGTCATTTGGATGTTAAGGCCGCAATAAATTAATAGTTACAGTTTGATTGATTTTTTAATAACATGGGAGACAGAAGGCATTTAATTTTTAACGTTTTATAATGGCGATTCACATGCATCATGGGTGTTCATGATCGAGGGCTACGTGTACGGAGTATTTCATCAGGTAAAGAAAATAGGAACACTCATATTAGCGATACTTCTATTTCTAGGAATTTCAGGGCATTAGAATAATGTAAGGCAGGATGTTTTGTTGTCAGGCGGGAGCGGATGAAAATCTATTAATTAAAGTAGCGAATATGGTATCGTATAAAAAAACATAGGACAATATCATTTTAACCGAATGCACCAAATTGGGCTGTGAGAACTTTATTTTAATGAATGTTATAGCCGTGTATAAAATTGCCTCATTGAGAAACTCACTGGCTTGTGATTATTTATGTAATTGACAGTGTAGCCGCTAATTATGGAATACTGTAAGGGACATTCTCGCTGTCAGATCGATAAGAACAAAATAACGCGTTAAAAATAAAATGCCTCCTGTCTCCCATGTTATTTAAAAATCAATCAAACGGTTACTATTAATTTATTGCGATATCTTGTTTGGTTGCAGCTATTTTGGATTTTGGTTGTGATCATTTTTTTTTCGAAAGTTTACTTTAAAGATTATATCTTGTAAGGTTGTTGACAGAAACTATTGCAAGTTTCCATTTTTTAAATATTTTTTTTGTTCTTGGTTGCATGCTAAAAGTAAAGCTTGATGGTAATATTTAATTAATATTTGGGACTACCCTTGAACCCAATTCAGTAGCGGCGATGTCCTGCAAACGCAGGCTATCTTTCGATAGAGTTGGTACAAACAAACCCTTTGAAAATTAGAACGTGGTCGAAGTCAGAAAATGATTAAGAACACCCTGTGACACTCCTGAGCAAGCAAATGTCTTAGCGACGATGTCCCGCAAGCGGTGCCTACATTTGACGGCGTCGGTACAAGAAAACCATTTGAGGATTCGTACATGGTCAAGTTGGAAATGGGTTAAGAACATCCTGGGACACCCTAGCACATGCCAATTTCGTAGTGGTGATGTCTAACAAGCTGTTCCTTACATTTGACGGTACAGGCAAACCCTTTGAGGAATCGAACATGTAAGAGGTATGAAATGGGGTTAAAACATCCCGGGACATTCTGGGACATGCCAATTTAGTAACGGCGATGTCTCGCAAGCGTTGCCTAAGTTTTGACAGTGTTGTTACTAGCAAACCATTTGAGGATTCGAACATGGACGAGTTCGGAAATGGGTTTAGACACCTAGGCACATACCTGGGACACCTAGGCACATAAAATTTTGAAGCTGTGATGTGCTGCAAGCTTTTCCTTGCTTTTGACAGTATTGGTACAAGCAAATCCTTTGAAGAATCGAACATGGACGAGTTCGGACGCGGGTTTAGAACAGTCCCGACACTATGGGATACGCTGAGTTAGTCTCGGTTATATGCCGAAAGCGGTACCCTAGTTTTGTCAGTGTTAGTACAAACAAACCATTTGTGGACTCGTACATGGTTGAGGTCTGAAAATGGCTTAAAACACTCTGGGACAATCCGGCACAAATCAATTTGGAATAGGGGATATGTCGCAAGCGTGTCCTTGCTTGTGACGGTGTTGGCACAAGCAAACCTGTTGAGGATTCGAACATGGTCGCGGTCTGAAATTGGTTTAGAACACCCTGTCACTCCCCAACACATGCAGTTTCGTAGCCACGATATCTCAAAAGCTGTGTCTAAATTTTCACAAGTACGTTGGTACAAGCAAACCATTTGAGGATTCAAACATGGTCAAGGACGGAAATGGGTTTAGAAAGCCCTGGGACACTTAGGTAGTTGCCAATTTTGTATCGGTGATATGCCGCAAGCGAAATTTTTTTACAATGTTTGTACAAGCAAACCATTTGTGGATTCGAACATGGTCAATATCATAAATGGGTTTGGAACACTCTGAGACACTCAAACACATGCCATTCGTATTTGTGATATGCTGCAAGCAGAGCCGTACTTTTGAAAGCAACGGTACAAGCAAACCATTTGTTGATTCGAACATGGTTGAGGTCCGAAAGGTTCAGAGGCAACCTGGTCCATTCCGACACACGCCAATTTCGGAGGAGCGATGTCCTCAAAAGCGGAGCCTAACGTTGTTGGTACAAGCTAACCGTTTGAGGATTCGAACATTTGTGAGCACACACGTTTGTGCGACAGCACGCTTGTGTTTATATTTATGCGTGTGGACATACATATGTACGGTTTATCTGTGTTTACATCTGTTTGTGCGTACTCTTGTAGGCACCTACATGCTTACGTTTCTGCTTGCGTAAGTGCGCGCATTTTGCGTGTGCTTGTTTCTTTGCATGTCCGAGTTTATTCGTGTGTTTACGTGCATAAGGTTGGGCGTGCGTGAGAAAGTTTGCGTTTGCCCAGGCGTTTGTGGGCACTTCCGTGCATACGAGTAGTAGATATTTAAGAAGTATCCCACCTCCCGCAGGAAGTACCTCATTAATATGCAGGATAACTCATTAATAGGGTAATGTATGCATGATGTCACAGGTCAATTAGGTTAATTAAGGGTCAACTGACCGGATGCAATCATGCAATTAATTACTTGACCACTCGTTAAACGTAGAACAAGACGTGTCTAAGAACAAGATGGCAGTGTCGTTGCCACAAACGCAAACGAACGTCATGTGACCTCAGTTTAAATCTGGCGCCTGACCTACATACCGGATCAAGTCTTTTCAACAGGCAATTGTCAGACGGACACTAATGATGAGGCGTACTGAGTACATCTATTGAAACCTTGTACCTACCGACCATATGACATTTGAATGGAGTACCGCTTGAACAAACATCCTTTTTCAATTTATATTTTATTTTATATTTTCCAAAAATGTTGTTTTCATTTGAAAATATATGCATATGCCCTATGGTGCCTTGTTTTGATTTCCTCTGTTTCACAATAGTACCGCCATAAACATACATAGTCCATGTCGTTATTTATTTTTTATATAATCTCACTGGTCACATATCCATAATTTCAATGATCAATGTCTTCTGCCCCACTCGTTGAACACTAATTGAACCATCGTCAGAGATATGTAGGTTACAGCCTTGTGAGAGTGAAATATTAAGTTGTTTAAAATATTATCCGAACAAACTACATATGTATGTTTTAGGTTTTAATATAATGTCTCTTTACATTATGTATATATAATTCATTTACGTGATAGAAATGTATCGTCACAGACTGCTGCCTATCAGAGGCATGTAATCAATATATATCAGATTAGAAGTTTCTTGACTGGGCGTCACGTGACCTCGGTTTGAATCTCGCGCCTGACCTACGTACCGGATAAAGTCTTTTCAATAGGCAATCGTCAGACGGACAGAAACCGAGGAGTCGTCATGACTACATCTATTGAAAACCTATACCTACAGACCATATGAATGATGTACTGCTTGAACAAACATCCTTACAATTCTAACTATGAATGACAGACTAGAAGTTTCATGACTTCACAAAAAACAAAAACAAAATATTATTCAGCTTCAAAATATTAGAAGGTTGTATTATTTCACATGAAAAACTACTTGTTTAACCAATACCAAGAATAATTTTCAAGAGAAAAAATATAGTAAAATAACGTAGTGAAAGAAGACTCAAGTCGCCGGTAAACTCAAACGATGTTTACTTGTTCAGATCAAAACCATAACTGACAACACAACGGTACTACTATGATTTCATCATCACAACGCTCACACAACCATTCCAAACTACGTTAACATTGCGTTCTATTTATAGAAATACTTCCAGGTTTTAGAGTTATCTCCCTAACATCATTCCTCCCTCTCAGATACAATCATACATACTAAGAAATTAAACCGATGATAATAAAGTACTATTTACAGGTAAACATAAAACAGGTGAATGTGTTAATTACAAATACAACACGTTTTATAGTTAATTGCATTTACATATTGTCAAACATGCCAATAAAGGCATTTTCACTTGAAATACAGTCAATGTAA